AAGATATCAGGCGACTTGTATTAAACTGAGCTATCCGAATATATGCTTTATATTTCTGTAATTATTTCCTACCTTAAGATATAAAATTATCTGGAAAAGTGGGTTTTTAAATGCGAGTCTGTTTTACGGCTAGCTGGAATGTCTTCTGTACCAAATATTAACACTGATTTTCTCTGGTGTTCAAATACTTATGTTCAGCAGTGCAAGACAAATAAATTCTTTAAAAATCATACAATGTGATTTCCTGAATTTTTTTTTTAATTCTGTCTCTCAGAGTGGGAATGCACCTACAAAGTGAATTTCAGACATCTCCATGATTTTTAAGTGGGAGAACTTGCAAAATCGCAGGGTGTTCAAATACTTCTGTTCCTCACTGTATGTCCCCCCCCTCCTTTTTACCATGCCCTATGGAATGGCTGTCAGCGGCGGATCCACCTCTTTGCTAAATCTCCCCCCCTCCCCTTTTTTTTCTCTTCTCTCCTCCTCTCTCTTTTTTCTCTTCCTCGTATTTCCCACTCTTCTCCTTTTTTGACTTTCGTCTCTCCCAATTATCGGTCCCTTATGCTGGGAGGACTACATTGGCCACAGTGCAAATAGATGACCTTGATAATGCCCTATGGAAGTTGATACCTCCGACAGCTATATCAAGAAATTGCAGTTTCCGGAATCAAATGCCCTCAAGCCATCATATATACTTGTTTTATTTTCTGTAGTGATTTCAAGAATTATTGTTATTTACGTTTCTCAGCTCTTTTAAAAAATCAGGCTCATCAACAAATAGAAAGATGTACACCCTATCCTGTGACCCTAATCATTGGATCCAATGTAAATACCTTTGAAATGTGCCTTATTGACGTATGAATCATTTTGATTCTGTATTGGCAGACATACTTTAATAAAATTTGTTTGGAAAAAAAAAAGTAAATGCTTCAAAATCGCATATCTTAGATCTAGGAGTAGATGCCACTTATAAGAAGGAACTACAATTTACTTATCCATTTATATGGAAAGATGAAGGAATTTCTCAGTTATTGCAAGTGTCCAAATTTTAGTATCCTGGTCAGGCCACTTGGTGATATTTAAGATGCAAATATCCCCACAACTAATATATGTTTTTAGAACAATATCTATTCCAGTACCTAAACCATATTTTGCTTCGTTACAATCTCTGTTGAATAGATATTGCGCCTTTAGCAAATTAATTAAAAATAGATCAGCAGGAGGCCTGGGACTTACTGATTTATATGATTATTATATGGCTGCTATTCTTGTGCAAACTAGACAGTAGTTCTCAGAGACAAAGCATTTATTATGGTGTGGCTTAGAACAGCAAAGCACCTGGAGCGGCACTAAAAATGGTTAAAAAAATAATAGTTACATGAAAACCCATTTTACGAAGAGTTGAGAAATGTAACACTGGACAATATGAAAAATCATCAGCAGTGCAGTGGTTAAGGGAAATCTACAAGATGGTATAATATTTTGGGGGGGCTAAAAGGACAAAATAAGTTATGTTTTAATTTTACAGGTCACTGACTAAACTTAATTTTATGTATTTTTACAGTTCAAGCAATTCCTGTGTCCAGACATTTATTAGTAAAAAGCAGTAATTATAGGAAAAAAGCAAATTGACTGCCTAAAATTATCAGAAAATATGTTAATAGTAGTAAGAAAAAGGGGTTGATTTAATAAAGCTGAAGAGTGCAAAGTCTGGTGCAGCTCTGCACAAAAATCAGCTTCCAGTTTATTTGTCTAAGCTTAATTGAGCAAGCTGAAGTTAGAGGTTGATTGGCTACCATTGTTAGATAATGTGTTTATGTGAAATCTCCATTAAACAATGTAAATAATATTGTAATTATGAATATATTTCAGTTAGAGCTGTATCAGTCTGGGTGTGCAATATGTCTTCCCATAAATTCCTGTTCTATGTTGCCAAAGGGAATATTCTATTAATTACACCTTCTTTACTGTATAACAGAAGTCTTTGCTGAGAATCCTCTTTCAGTTTGGTGCCAGAGTTAGTTTATCTAACAATGGGACAAACCTGTTGGCTGCACAAATATGTATGTCAAAGGATCCTTCATTTAGATATGCAATGAAGGTGGCCAGCTGTTCATGAATACTTAGTTTCCCAGAAAAAAGGTCATGAACTCGCATGCTTAAATTCCATAAAGGGTGGGCCAAGATTTGCCTTAAAGGGGGTTGGTGTATGCTAAATACAGGGGATTTGAAGGTAGCCAATTATGAAAGGAATAGATTTGCCAACCAATCAGAGATACTCCATGAAAATTAATGGAGGAGAGGCCTATAACTATGGACACTAGAGAGAGAGGTTCTCTTTGAAACACCAGGGGAAGGGAATGGAACTTTTACATCCAGTTCCATGGTAATTATGGAATATATCCCTTGCACTTATATCTAAATGTTTGTCTTGTGTCTTTTCTGTCTCACTGTTTGTATTTTGTAATATGTTTCTAGCTTTCTTAATACTGTTTCTTTTATGTAACTAGATAGATTGTTTGTGTTAGTTTAGACCTCCATCCTATTCACCAATAAATTTTGGTTGTTGTGTTAAACCTTTCACTTCTGAGTAAGAACTCTTCATTTACCAAATCATATCAAAGAAATATTATATTTCATAATCTATAGATTTGGTCAACACCATTCACAGCTGCACCAGATTTTGCACTTTCCAGTTTTAGTAAATCAACCCCAAAGTGTTGTTCTTAAATAGATATATTAGTACCACCCATCTTATTTTCTGTTTATTCAACCCATGGCATTATTATACCTATTTATATGTATCAACTATTTGGTTTTACCTTCATCTGGCAATCTAAATATATAAAAATATCCTGAAGAACAAGACTCCATTTTTTAGGCTAAAATAAATTTTCTGTTGAATCTCAGTTGTACCTCCTTATAAATCTGACCCCCACAAACTCTATCTTAACTTGCTCTGTACTGTATATAAGCTGGTCCAGCTAATACTGAAATGTATAACATGGAACTTGCAGATAGTAACAACTGGAGATAATATTGTCACCTGGACACTGCCTGTTTTTTTCCTATTAAGTTGTATAATACCCACTACAGTTAATTACAATGCCAGCCTGATGAAAAAATTAAGGCAGTATCTAAAGGATGATATAAGTTTTGATATAAATAAATATTAAAGCAGTTACATAGTTTAACGCTGTAAACACACTGCAATTAAATGTTCAATTGCATATACTTTTTATTATTTTCTTAATATTTACTAATTTTTATAACATGTAATTTCTAATATTTTTATAAGGTATTTTATATGCAGGCTTGAAGTTTATGCAAAATATATGATAAAACAAAATGTATGATAAGATGCATATTAGAATTATAAACATTTTTTTTACATATCTTAATGCTATTTGCAACATAACAACTTACAAATTCTGCAGTACACAGATAAAAAGATACAAGGGTTATGATTGATGACTGTAAGAAAAAATTGTTTTTGTTAGGATTCCTTACACACACACACAAACACCATTCACAGCAATTCTTTTTTTTTTCTATGTATGGTAGCTTTTTGAAACATGATTCTGCACTGTAATAAAATGCATAAAGTGCATAATTTCATTGCAATGCACACCAATGCAGCACATTTAATGTCCATTTTGTAAATAAGCACAATGTATGATTTATAAATATTTGTTATTAATTAACTCAGTTTTATCTTTTATATTTATTAGTAATGTAGTCAGTAGGCATCTTATAGGTGCTTTGTAAATTATGGTGTGTGTTTGTGCGCTAATAATAATCATAGGGTATTTTCATCAAGAATATAATTTTTGATAAACATTTTTGCAACTATCATGGGACTTATAAAATCAGTCGCACCATCCTTTTATTCTACAATGTCTATAGTTTCAGAATGTCTTGGTGGACCTTTGGGAACTGTGAAAGCTGCAGGTAAAAAATGAAAAAAAAAAAAAAAGATAAAAATTACAAACATGGTATCCAACTTTAAATGCCTTTTTTTTTATAATAGCTTGAATATTAGTTCTAAAACATGGCCAGATTCTCTTCCCATGAAATTTGTGCTTAGTCATTTTATACACTGCACACACATGCTAGCCTTGTATCCTCTTAATACTTTTATATACTGTACCACAGGTAATAGTCTCATAGACACACATAAAAACTCAGGACAAAAGATCATTTAAAAAAAATAAGAAAAAAGTAACTTTTGCATTACATGTGGTTTTCTGCATACAAAAACAGATATAATATATATAAAGATATTATAATATATATATATATATATATATATATATATAATTTTGTCCGAGTGTACTTTAAAAAAGAACTTCATTAAAATCACCGACTGTTGAACACTATAAGGTCAGAGAAACCAGTGTGCTTTTATCAGTGCAATATTGAGAGAGGTCTGATGATACATTCTAGGAACTGTTTCATAAATTATTATTTTACTTTACATCCACACCCAGGACCATCATGGTGGGGGCCGACAAGTAGATGGGAGGGAGGCCTGTAAACATCGATTTGGTGGCCTCTCCTTCCTGTTACTGAACCTGGAAGTAACAGAATCCCAGGTCAACCAGTAGGGCTGAGAAAGAAATTAATACCGTGTGATCTGCACTGCATTAGTTTAACCACTAGCCTACAGGGCACTTATACCCCCTTCCTGTCCAGGCCAATTTTCAGCTTCCAGTGCTGTTGCACTTTGAATGACAATTGTGCAGTCATGCAACACTGTACCCATATAAATGTTTTATCATTTATTTTGAGACAGATAGAGCTTTCTTTTGGTGGTATTTAATCGCCTCTGGACTTTATTTTTTTGCTAAACAAACCAAAAACTGAAAATTTTGAAAAAAAAAAAAAAAAAAGAGTTGTTTCTTAGTTTTTGTTTTAAAAATTTTGTAAATAAGTGATTTTTCTCCTTCACTGATGTGTGCTAATAAGGCTGCACTGATGGGCACTGATAGGTGGCACTGATGGGCACTGATGAGGAGGCACTGGTAGGTGGCACTGATGGGCATTGACAGGCATCACTGATGGCAGCACTCATATATGGCACTGATAGGCAGCACTGATAGGTGACACTGACTGATAGGTGGCACTGACTGGCACTGATAGGCGGCACTGACAGGTGGCACTGATGAGCACTGAATCGGCAGCACTGAGTGGCACTGATAGGCGGCACTGACTGGCACTGATAGGTGGCACTGATTGGCAACACTGATAGGTGGCACTGACTGACACTGATAGGTGGCACTGAAAGGCAGTTCAGATGGGCACTGATATGCGGCATTGATGTGCACTGGTAGACACTGATATGTGGCATTGATGTGGCACCAGGGGCGGACTGACAACTCATGGGGCCCCCGGGCAATAGGGGATCATGGGGTCCCTGTGTCCTTGCCCAAACTCAAAAAATCCTATGAAAAAGGTACCAGGGGCATCTCATGGGGCCCCCTACTGACCCCCGGACCCTCGGGCAGTGCCTGAGTTTCCAAATGGTCAGTCCGCCCCTGTGTGGCACTGATGGGCACTGGCAGGTGGCACTGCTGAGGGCTGCTGACACTGATCATCAGGGCACACTGATCATCAGTGTTTATTTGATCCTCCAAAAGCTATTGAACATTTACATTAGTGGTAGCTATGGTTGAAAGATATGATTGAATGGTAAAGTGACATGTTCTTCTGTAGGGAAAAACACTCACCTTTTCATACTCCCCTTCTGGACTTTCCTTTGCTGTTCCATTCAAGCCTTTTATTAAATACAGTTTCTGGTGCTTTCAGGTATTAGGACGTATGTGACCTCCTTTGAAGATGTAGAGCCTGGGTCTAACCAGAAAATGACAATGCTCATACACTGTCACCTCATGGGAGGAGGAGGGAAGAAGAATAAGTTTCAACACTGCTTGACATGGAAGTTATACAGGATTAAGCTGCTACTAATGGAGGTACAAAACAGTGAGGGAACATAGGGAAGGTGAGTATCAATGGGTAGTTCTTTGAGTAGTCAAACTGACAGATATTCTTTGATCGTGCAAATTTGTTTAGGATTTCAAAATATGTTGAATCCAAGGATATGTAAACAGTACAATTATATGTTTTGTATACTAATGCATTTGTTTAACTGCTTTGTTTACATTAATTAAATATATTTTTTTTTTTGTTACTTTCTGTATCATAAAACATAGGATGAAGCTTTGCTATAGAACAAAACTTTGTATTTGCTTATTGTGTGTCATCCTGTTGAGATTTGTTTTTGATAACATGGCTGAAGAAAAGATAATAGAATGGCCTGCAGCATGTAGCAGCCTTCTTGGTGGTGGCATTCAAGTGAATGAGATGAGGCAGCAATTTTAACACCTTCACTTTTTCAATTTTGTTATATAGGTAGAATTCTGTTTGTAAATGGTAAACATTTTATTGTGCATATCTTGTCCATTTATGCTACTCCTGTGTATAATTTCTTTTCTTTCTTGTGAAACAGAACTTAACAGGTGACAAATTACGGTGAATGGAATGAGAAAAAGATCCAATTTAAATTCATTTCACTGACTTGCTGTCACTGTTGTGCCATTTTATGTTACTGTGATTGTTTATTTTTTTCTCTGAAACAAAAAATATACATGTTAATCACACAAGAGTAACAGTTACTTTATCATTAACAGTTCACTAATCTTTGAGTATTTCACTGTAGTTGTTAAGAGCAAACATGTCTAGCAGTACTTACATAACCTGTTTCAAAAAACTAGAAAATATATCAGCATATTTGTTAACTAAATCATTTTACTTTATTACTCTATAAACCATTAACTTAAATCTTGTCATTGGGGGGGGGGGGGGGGGGGGGGGTCCTCATTGCATTATTTTCCAAAATACAGGAAGATTTCAAAGGGTCTGGTCTATTTGTTTTTCAATGTGTAGCTTTTGCTATATTTGTTAAAGAAATCACAAGGGTTTTCTCCCTAAATCGATACCAGACCCTTTGGATCTGGTGTCGATTTTAGGGGGTCCTATGCAAAAAATAACCTGAGCCCCCTTTCCAAAAGTCAATACCAGGGTGCTTTAAAACGTGGAAACCATGCAAAAGAAAAAAAAAATTACATGGGTACCCCCCAATACTGTTTATACAAACATGACACCCAGCAGGCCAGGAAAAGGGGAGTCAGCCTGGCTGCTGAATCCTTACCAGACAACATGCCATCAACATTGGGGAGGCATGTAGATAAGGACAAGGGCATCTTCTCCACATCCCTAGCAATTGCTGGGTGCATGTGCTGAAGTTTAGTTTCTATGATGCAACTAAACTTTTCTTTCCTTACTCCTTCATAGAATTTACCTACCTTTTCCTTTTTCTGTGCAGGAATGGCACAATTTTGTTTACCCCCAATTTATTATGTTTTGTTATGGGACTAAAGCTCATAAAAATGAGATGTTTAAGGCTTTATAATGCAATGATAGGAATGATTGGTTGCACTATAACTCTTTTATCTATAGCATTGCAGGTATACTTGATAAACATGTCTTACAACTTCTTGCTGATGTCTGTACTTACATTCTGTGCTGCGTTCTGATGTTCTAAAGTTCTGCTTTGCTCCTTGCCCAGATGGTACCCTCAGTGCTGGCCCCACTGTCCCATGTAAGGGTGCCTCTTTACTCTCTTTACTCTTGCTTCCTATGGAACTTATCCAGAGCCACCCTTGCATGTTCCCTCAAGGCATCAAACTGTCAACATACATAGGCAACCAGTCAGAACAGCAAACCTTTGTAGAATGTGTTATGAGGGTTGGGACACAAAGAGCTTTATTTATTAGGACTATAATGATCTCATGAGCAGGGCCCTCTCAACCCTCTTGTATTGAAATGCATCATAACTGATCTGTCTCCCTTTATATTGTAAAGCACTGCACAAACTGTTGATGCTATAGAAATATTGTATTATAATAATAATAATCTTAAAACATTCATGGGGCTGTTGATCCTAGGTGATGTAAGGGCTCATGTACATGGGGCATTTGGAAAACTGTTCTGAATGATGGAAACTGACTGCTGGAAAACGTAGGTTAAAAAAAACGTCAGTTTAGCTGAGTTTGCATACCACGTTTATGCGCGTTTACATTTAGAAGCGTTTTTAAAAGATAACCTCAGGAGACTTTCCCAAATGCCCAGAATGCACTGAAAAATAGTAAAAAAAATGAACTATTTCAGACATTTTGAGAGGAATAGAGAGAGCAGAAGCAGAGAGAGCAGTATGTGTTGAGATTACCTGTTTTTTCTGGTTGTATTCACTATAGATCCCATCCAGGGGCGGACTGACAACTCATGGGGCCCCCGGGCAATAGGGGATCATGGGGCCCCTGTGTCCTTGCCCACACAAGCCTATGAAAAAGCCAAGGAAAGGTACCAGGGGCATCTTATGGGGCCCCCTACTGACCCCGGGCCCTCGGGCAGTGCCTGAGTGCTCGAATGGTCAGTCCGCCCCTGATCCCATCATGAGCATAATGCAGCACGTTCTACAATTATTTCCTTCATGCGAAACCTGGAACTTACTTGCGCTGGTGTACTAGGTCCATTTGAATACATGGAAAATGCTTTGCATGCATTTCCGGTTGATGAAAAAAGGATCTGGACAGCATTTGAACATGGAACAGTTAAAAAATGCTTCTAAAAGCAATCGCTTGAAAACTCAGTTAACCGTGTTTACACGCATTTACAAGCATTTGGCATTTGAAATACCGGTACAATATACTCTTGAACGCAAGTTTGGTGAAAAAAACGACTGTAAACTCAATTGCCTGTAAACGACTATGTGTATATGGACACATAGGAAAACATTAAGGAGAATTCAGAGGCTGCTGAAAAAAATGCTTAACAGCTCCTTACTGTCAGTTTCAGAGCTGCAGTGTACATGAGCCCTAAACATGGTGCCTAACTCTGAGTTGCAAAAAGAAAAAGGAATACACATACACCTGCTCCAAATGCACGTACATAGCCACCTTGGATATATGGACCTATCATTTTATTATTAGCAAGCATACTCATCATAGTCATAACCACTGCGGTCTATTTCTAGATATACCTCTTATTGGAACAGTTAAAGGATAAGCTCACCTTTTCATACCATGTTACATGTTACACCCATATTCAATGTGTAACATGTTATGAATGGACTGGCCAACACCCCCCCGCTCCTCAGATCTTCTGTGAAAATTAGAAAAAAAAAAAAAAAAGGCTCTGCCTGACAGGCTGCGTCAGCCTTAGTGGCCGTCAGCTTCTAGCTCTCAAATAACTACCACAGCGCTCTGAGCACTCTGGTAGTTCATTGATTCTTCCTGTCACTATATCTACTTGCCCGTACATCCTGTATGGGCAAGCTGATATACTGACAGGTCTGCAGGAGACCTGCATGGCACCAGATATTTTTTGATCGCCGGTGCAATGCTATACAGACTCCCAAAACAAAAAAAATAAAAATGCTAATTTTTTTACCTGCAAAAAATGTGTATTTAATATTTTTTTTTTACAAAAAGGTGAACTTATCCTTTAAGCAAAAATGTTAGAAATTAATATGCATTGTGTTTAGGATGTTTTGATACAATTTTAATGTTGGATATTTTTTTCTAATTATTAAGTATTAACATTTAGATATTTGTTGATAATATTAAGATAAGAAGAATCATTTAAAATTTTTGTAATCATAATATTTCCAGGAAGAATATTACAACTCTGAAGTGAATTTTCTATCTATCAATATTCTCTTTAATTTGTATTATATTTAATTGTATTTCTGTGTTACTTAAAAGTAGTGATCCACACTAAAATGAGCAGGTAAAAGAACCCTTCCTGATCCGATATTTGTCCTCAACAATAAGCATGTCCTGTTTTTTCTACAATTTGGAAGCACTACCAAAAAATAACTCTGTTTGGCATTAATCTAGTTTGCCTATTATGACTTGATGAAAATCATGAAAAGCAATGCTATTCTTCTAGGATGTAAAAGATAACAGTTTCTACAGCGCATAGCTTTATGCCGCTAATGTGGTAACAAGTGACAGGATAAAAATACTTCTTTAGGTTGTGATTTTCCTAAAAGGGTCTCTCTAGCAAGGTAATCTCCCCATATTGAGATCATGTGGCCTCTTTCCTGTCAATCCAGGCTGATTGCTTAGGTAATAATAATCATAACAATAATAGTAAACTTTATTTTATATATTTATACTATAAAGGGGACTGATTACAGTGTATTGATTACAGTGCCCCTTTACAGCGTAGTCCCCTTTATATTACAGTGCTCCTAGAAATCTAATCAGAGTGCCCCTATATATTCAAAGAGATGGCCCAATCCAGGAAAGAGATATAAGAGACATTCCCATCCAGCAGAGACATCCCCATATAGCAAAAAGACATCCCCATCAAGCAAAGATACATCATAATCCACAAAGAGATGGGATGTCTCTTTGCTGGACAGGAATGTTCCTTAGCTGGATAGGAATGTCTCTTTTCTGGACCCAACTAAGCAAAGA